TTCCTCATCCTGACTAGACTTGGACTCGGCTACGATTTCAACTGGCACCAGTTCGGGACTCTCTCCGGCGGCGGCGGCGGCGGCCGGCGGAGTACGCATAAACTGAATGAAGTTGATCCGGAAGTCGCGGTAGTCCGTCTCTTGCCACCTGGGCGTCCAAGACAACACGACAACAAGAGGAGTGGGGTTAAGGTGAGATAATCTCGGTGCCGTGTTGTTTTTCGCGCGGCATGCAACTGTACTAATACATTGAATGTACTAATACATTGAATATTGTATTATCGAAAGCGGCTGGCCTCTTGTACGCACCGATTTCGTCTGCACATGGTGTGCGAACCAAGCAGTCAATTCACTACAACCAACCTTCCCCTAAGACCCCAACACGAAGGAAGGCAGGCTTACCAAAGTTCCTGCCTCGCCGCGGCGTGCAAGTCCTTCGCGGAGGGGATGAGGATAGCCGCTACTACCGTGTTGAACGAGACGCGAGAGCCCACGCGGACGCAGGCAGCCGCCGCCTGCCTCTTGGCCGCAGAAGCGCCCGGACGCGCCGAGGGATGCCTTCTCTCCTTCGGGAGCCTCCAATTATCCAAGGCGTCTCCCGCTCTCTCTGGGGACCGCGTAGCGCTGTCACTGCTGTCACTGCGTTCCGTGCGGGCGGCGGGGGTACGAGGCGGCGGAGATGGCTCCCGCAGCAGCTGCTGCTGTGGTCGCTGGGTCATCTGGCGGATCCAGTCGCTAGCTGGCCTCTTGGCGCACGCGGCGGCGGCGGCCGCAGCGGCCTCATCGTCCTTTGTCTCGCCAGACCCAACCTGCAAGACAAAAAATGCACATTGACATCGTTCGGGAAGCAAGGAGATTCGGGCTAGGAAAGAAAATCACAAACCGCTCCTGTACGACCATGCCTGCTGTGTTAAATACGGTGAAACCATATCGTGTCGGATACACAACGCCATTTAACTACCGCTGTGCACTCGTGCCCTCAGCGAGCGCTGCTGCCCCCATCAAGATACTGTGCTCGTTGCTAACTTGACCGAAGAGAACGACTCCGCGGAAACTTATCCACACGATAATCTAGGAGCGGTAGAGTGTGTACTGTTCTGTGATCTTCGGCACGACAAGCGTGGTCGGCGGGCACCATCTTTGTATTTTACCAGCCAATTGGAAGTCGAAAGAAACCAAGTGACACCTTGTTTGGATTCCGAATGCAACTAGAACCTATCTGCAGCCCAAAGATGAGGAACATGTGAAACTACGGACGGTGAGCTGCAAAGAGAAACATAGAATGTCATAAGAACACCACTCTAGTGCAGCAGGTTTTCCGGCTAATGTCAGCCCCCATCTATGTTCGGAATAGTTTACACGTATTTCCATACATGTAGTGTCTGTCACGACATTTAATAACTGCTATTCAGGGCATCGCCGCTAAGCCTCTTCAGCGGGTATTAACCGCTAAACTGGGAAAAAGCCAGTTTTTGCGTAACAAGAGCCGCGTCGAAATCTTGAGAGAACATGCCTAGATCTCATTGGAGAGGTAATTCGATTGTGTAGATGCAGGAGGAACAAGGAAGAGAGCACAACATATACACGTTTTTCAATTAACGAACACACAATGAAAACTTGTTCTCCATTTGGACTGTTCTATGTGCAAGTAAATCACCTCAAGACTTGGGTTGATAACCGATATTGGTGAGAAATTGGGTGCAGCCGTGCCACCAGATTTCGGAACCGCTATTTTAGGTATCCCGCATAACAGGCCACCGCAAACAGGAACATGACTACTGTACGGCAATCGAAAAGCCCCAATCCCTCATCATTCCCATCGCTCAGGTGGACCTGTTGACAACCTCGCGACAGAACCATTCTGACTTTAGAGCGCGTGTTGCAATCCAATCTCTCTCTTCGGTGAAAATCGCCATCTACAGGTGGATCGCGCATACATACTCGGAACACACGACGAGAGCGAAAGAAAGGAACTCTTCTCGCGAGATAAATATGTACCTAGGCGAGTGAACAATCTAATTTGAAGTAGAAAATATCGCGAGGGATCACAGTCTACACGGTATACATCCACTATTACTGCTATATATTTACCTCACAACATGGAGCCCCGAATGGACAAGACATACTCGGGTAGAATGTTTCGGGGTGCATCAACCCTAAAGCACGGATTGAATATTTTATCCCGTATGTTTGCTTATTCAATTTTTGCTGCGTACACTACTGGAACCGCCCACCTCTGCCGACTGGCAGAACGCATGGCATCCATGCATGTATGCATGCGCCACGTGCCTACAGCACTACCGGGGGGGGGGATGTACTCATAGTCGTGCATGCCGTAGTCGTTAGACCATTGACCTCGCATCCCTACAAAGCCGGGACGGAGCACGCCGGGTTCTCACCGGACCAGGCTCTCACATCACCAAGCGCGAAGCGCCGTGAGATATTCGGCGAGTCGCATGAAGGGTGCGCTGCATCCTGCTAAGGGTGTTCGGCATCTTGTGCTTACTTCCTTGCGTACGGATGACAGCTGCGTATGAATTAATTTATTTTCTGGTGCTTTCACTTCCAGAGACAGAGTTGTAAGCGCTGTGTAACTGCCTCGAGGGTGCTTGACCATTTTAACACAACGTGGTGCGATCATCCCCCTTGCGCGGAGCGAGGGTTCTCCACCCCGCACAACATTATCTACTCGACCACCATTATGGTTACCGCCAAAAAAAAAAAAGGAGGTAAAAAAACAAAACGGTAACCTGGTTGCCGAGTTCACGAAGTGAATTGGCTTGTTTTACAACGTCGTTGCCAAGCGACGAAAACCCAATCCCGATGGCAAACACCGGGGGGGGTGGGGGGGGGGAGTTGTACACATACTTGAGAGGACCGGAAAAAAATCACATGGGATGTCGATCGATCGGCACTACATACACGTGTCGAGGTGGGGGAGATCCTGCCACTATGATACTGTAATGCACAACAGAACAGTCTGCAGCGGCTGTTGAACCAGACACACAGCGGCCCCCCGAAGCGGCACAACGGTTTGTACAACAAACTGTCAATGCGGCGCCATTACCGTATTATTTTGACATGTTCATAGCAGCAGTAGGCGCGCGACCGACCCACCTCATGACGCACCACCCGCACTTTTCTCCAGGCCTGCTTTCTCGTCAAAGGCATGTCTTGCGGGAGCGCCGCGGTGGTGTGCGTTGCTTCCAACCCCGCTATCTGCTATACGCACAAAGAATGATGCTGCCGCTTGTACCCGAAGCTGAAAAGACTGGATTGCTCAACCTGTCCGCGTTACACGGCTAGCAAGGAGCAGGGACAGCAGCAGCGCACAGCAGGATGATCAATGCCGGTGCCATGGGCGGAGAGGGCTGAACAAAAAACACCAAGTTTTCCGGCATGACGCACTACGCATCATCCGCGAAAAAAAAATCGCCGTCTTGGCGTGGTTTGGGAGACCCGACTACACTGCTCCATTAAATCCAGTTGCTTCGGCAAAATTACGACATACAGCAGTGAGCATTAGACTACAGAGGTCTCGCGCGCGGTGAGCTCGCATGCTTTTCGTATTAATTCCATGGTGCGGGCGCGGACGCGACACCGGAGGAAACATAAATAATGCACAAGACTATGTATATTCTTGTTCCAATTTGGCCCTAGGACCATCTGCGAGGGGCCGTGCGTCGTCTCCTGACGACAGATCAACGAAAAATACCGCTCCGCTGTCATGTCGTGTCGATCCGACAGAATCAATCACCTCTCTCCCATCTGCCGTCTGAACACTGCTGCTGTAGTTTCAGAAAAATACGAATCTCGGGACTGCCTTGCGAAGGAGAAAGGCTTGGGGTGGAAAAGGTTGCGACTTCACGGGCACGTACGAGAGGAGCGGAGGGTTGGGGGGGGCTCTGCCTTGGCTACTGCTTGTTTGCCTGGGGCACTTGGGTTCGGCTGCCAGCCCGTTCATATGCATCGAACACCATGACGCACCACCTGCTGCTGCTGTGCATTCCAACCACACGGCCTTATTGCCGTACAAGAAGAAATATACCACGAGGTACGGCAACGCTCGCCGTGTTTCCCGACCCCTACACAGGACAAAAGCACCCCTCTCTGCCCACGCCCCAGGACAGAGGCACACATGCGCCGCCCATCGCGCACGATGGATCACGGGATGTTGGCGTGTCGTTCGCTTCTTTGTCGAAGCAAGGATGCATTTGGGGCCAACCTATTCGAGAATCTTCGCTCGCACCCCACAGCGACCAATATCCCAAGTGCACCGCACCCACCTTCCCTCACTTCTTATCCTCGCCTTCGCTTTGTACGATGTCACTGGTGCACAGTGACCTCTTGAAGAGGTATGGTTGTGTATTTCCTTGTGTGATCTTGGTCCCACGGCGGTGCTGGTACGAAGACCAGGCCGACCAGCGATCATCATGGCCCGATGTCCCGGTTGGGGCAGCTGGTTGAAGCTGCTGCTTGTAGTTACGGTTGCACGGAAGAGACCGGCAGCTGTCAGTTGCTTGCCAAAACAATACTGATTCTAGACACTTCCCGGTACGTCAGTGTTCCTGGCGGCTGTGATTGGTCCCTCGTATTATATTCTTTTCTGCAGAGCTAGACAGTGCTCCCAACCATTCCAGAAAGGAGGAACAGACAGCAGCCCTGTGCATATGTTGCTTGAGGATAGTATAAACACATTTAGGCATGGCAAGCTATGAGTCTGTCGCGATTTCATCCTGGGCTTTGAAATCTACCGATCTCGTGATGAAAACATGAAAACATCTACTTGTCGAGTGTCAGCCCTGCCCAAATATTTTTTGAGTTCGTCCGTGTCCATGCACCCCCCCCCCCTGGTCCCAGTTGCGTTGTCGCACTGGCTGCTTGCCTGGGTGTGTATGCTACTGAGGGTGCTGCTGCTGTAGTACCAACCCAAGCTGGAACAGAGAGGCAACTGCGGTGCTGTGTAAACGCCCGGGTGTGTATGTGCAAGAGAGAGAGAGAGAGAGAGAGAGGAGATACATCGTAGTGCCCGCAGTAGGCATGCCACGGTTTTACAAGGACAGCGTGCTAGCGCGGACTGTTTGCCAGTCACGGCAACAAACGACGGTGTTTGAGGGTGCACCGGTGGTATCCGGGTCCGCAGCGGTGCTTCTTGGGGACGTTGATAACGACCCGCAAGCAGAGAGAGAGCTCGCCGTTGGCGGGGTCGATGGCACGCTGGCTGTGTTCAAGGTGGGACATCCCACACCGGGGCCTTACTTCATGGCGTCAGGTATGCACATGGTTGGCCGTCCGTTGACGTCTTCGTCTGTCATCCTGTCTTTTGTTCCCTGCTGGGTCAATGGTTAACAGAGGCGTGCTTCAATACTTAGGGTTAGGGTCAGCACTGGGCAGCATTTCGCTGGAACGAAAAGAAATAGTTGTAGCCTTGCGGGTAAGCGTGGCCGCGGCGCTCATTTTTTTTACGTATTTGGTACTACAATATCATTCTTGTGGTACAACTTGAAGCAGCTCAATCGGATTAGCGGCGGGCAGTACACCAGTACAAGAAGTATAAGTACTAGTACACTAAAGATCGTACACCTTCGGTACCATATGTTGCATAAGGCATTACCCCCCTTCTAAAGTTCGTGCACCTTCGACACCATTTGTTGCATAAGATACCACCCCCATTCTTAAGTTCGGGCAAATTTGGTACCATAGGTTGCATAAGATGCAACATGCGGGTCTGTACAAAGAGGTGGTTCTCCAGCAGTTTAGACGCGCAATCGCGAAATATTCCGTTGAGAAACAAGAGGCAACTTTCACGAAATGAAGCGTAAGAAAATAGCCAGCGGTGGATCTGTTTACCGAAGCTTGACATCTATGCAACGAATATAATCACTGCTGCACGTAACGATACGCATATATTCCCGCGTGGTCGTCAGGGCTTGGCACCTTGTCCGCGCTAGGGTTAGGAAAATTGTTCTTGGGGTATGGCGACGACCAGCAGCTGATCGCTTGCACGGAGGAAGGCGTCTGCCACATTTTCAACATCAGGCCGGCCGACCTAAAGTGAGGCAAGACTCCACTGTGCATATCGGCCACAGGCTATTGCTTGTGTAAGACAATACTCATTCCCCACACTGACACGGCGTGAGGTGGGCGGCAACAGGGTGGTTGTCGACGAACTCACGCAGCGTGCAGTAGTACTGTAATGATGACTTGCCCTTCCCCCCCGAGAAACGTGTAGGGATCTCGATACATGATGGCACGCAGTGTTGTTAAATAGCATCACCCTTTTTCGGATCCAACATGATTTTGTATTGAATGTTTGTCAGCTACGTGGGGTAAATATCGCAAGCTTCCCGAAGATCCAATCTGTGTAGAAAGTTCTTAAGCCCGCTAGCGTTTCAGTGTCTCTCTTTGTCTTGCTAGTGAACCACTACTTCACGGCAACAGATCTACGAAGGCAGAACCTGCGAAGATCGTTTCATGGCTTATTATGTACCCGTTTATGGCCGAAGGGTACTCCCTTCGCCCGCAAGCAAAGCTACAGCCACGCCGTCGCGACGCCGCCCCCGCACAACCCCCTTGTCTAGCTTTCAAATGCCGGCCTGTTCGCTTCGTTAGAGAAATGAAGCCTGTGTTTCATCAACCACGCATACGAGTTTCGTGAGATGTACTTCCAGTAGGTTACATGAACGCGTAACTGGCGAATCCCTGGACCCCCTCTCTGGAGTGTGGTGCGATATCATGTACCCGACTTGAGGAGAAAACCACGTCTCAGTTTGTGAGGTATCCAGGGCTGTCCACATCCCTCACACAATCGAATTCAGCCGAGTGTGTTGCTGTCCTAGACCAAAGAACGACCGGCTCTTTTCCAAGCTTAAGTAACATGGTAACAGTATGTGACAGCTGAAACACGAAATAAACAGGGCCTGACACGCTATTTTCTAGATGTCTAGACGCACCAGCTGCTGCCGCTGGAAGCGTGAACGAACCTCCGCACTCCGTACGGTACAAGTAAACAGTATCGGTACCGTAATGGCTCAAGAATGAGGTCGTGAGCGGGTTTGGGGGAGTTGGGCAAGGTCGCGACTAGCGGTATCGTCATAGACTGACCTGCGTGAGAGACACCGAGAGTCCAAGCCGGTGGTAGACCGGGCGAGGGTGCATCTACGTCATATGGTACTCTAAACTACCGTACCAGTACTGCCTCGCTTCCCCAGAGCGCACGGAGTCTCTATTGATAGCCCTCCAGGCTCCAAGTGGGGTCTTTGGAGCTTTGTGGGTTGTTTGCCCGGGCCGATTGGAGTTGTAGCTGACGAGTGGAGAGAGGAGTTTTTGTCAGCACTCTGGGGACGAGGCGCACACACGCCGCGACACGACCACAGTTTCCCCGTGTGTCGGGTACGATCTGTGTGGCCCCTGCTTGTTTCGTTCCCAGCTGTCCCAGTCTAGTCTTCGGCGGCGTGCCCCAACAAATTTCGTGGGCAAGAGCATGCATTTGTACACGCGAGTAGTTTTTGGGAGATTAGTGTGGGGGGGAGGGGTCGCCGTTGCCAGCTGCAACGAACCAGCCTACATATGTTGAACTCGTATGGGTCACCCCACTTGGTCACCGTCTCTCGCCCCCCTTCCCTCGGGTCACGGGCCACTGCAGATTCTTGCGCTAAACAAAAGATACGCTACTTCGCCATCCTACCCCGCTGGAATATGGCGTGCAGTCACACATATCCAACCGTACATATCTCGCCAAAATTATGTACCTGAAAAGAGTAGTGGAACGTGAAACCCTGAATGGAGCGCGTTCTGCACTATTCGCTCCCATTCCCATATGGTGCAGGTGCCCGCTATAGCACGGGTGAAATCGCTTGGCACATACCCGCACTACGCCCCACTGTGCGTGTTTTCCCACGTGTCCAAGACATCGACAGATGTGAGAGCAATTGGGCAATTTGTTCCGTTGTCACGCCACTGAGAGTGATTGCCAGCTGATTCGTTGTCTTGTTGATACCGCCGCGTACTTGCAGATGGGATCCAGAATCTGATACCGGGCGCGTTAACCCCGTGTGGTCGGTCCCTTGCCCGAAGAATGTCACTTCGTGCTGCATAGCGGACATTGATGGAGACAAAATGTGAGCATGGTACCTCCGTTGATCCCCTTGGCTGAATATGCACACGGAACAACTGCTCTTCATTAGCAGTTTCATGTCACGGTAGGACCAGACAATCAACTGGTGTTCCTGTTCCCTTGAAGCCCCACCTGCAAAGTACGCACTCCTGCTAGAGATTTGTGTGGGTCCTTTACGAAGCAACCGTTTGAGCGTGCTGCACATTTTTGTCTTGTGTTTGAAACTATCTTTGAAGATGTGCCTCTTCTTTGACATGGTGGTATGATGGTATTGCCGAAATTGCTTCCAAGGCAGGAAGTGGTGATGGGGACCCGGGAAGGCGGCGTGCATGTCCTCAAGATTGATTTTAACCAAGAACAACACAAGGGCAAGGATGAAGGAGTCAAAACGACCGAAAAATCGGGTTGGGCAGGTGGGGTGTCGACTGGGGACACCCCCCGGAGTGACGTGTTTTGTTCGTCTCCGGCTGCGCAGTCACGGCACTCGACCCCGACAGCTGATGAGCCCGGACTCGAAAGGCTGGTGCGTGCGTGCTGGTAGAAGCGGAGGTTCGGGACGGGCTAACGGGTGGTATTGTTAGCGAGGTCGATGTACGCTAACACTGCTTGAACGGTGTTTGGCCGGCTATACCTGGAGGGAAACCGAACCGCTCTCTGTTGAAGTTGCTACCTTTATGGTGGCAAGTTTTGGTGAAAAAGTTATTCGTTACCCTTGCGGACGAACATCCGTTTGTAAGCGCTCAACATCAACCAAGGGACCCTTGCGCGCCTCACCAAGTCCACCCCCCGTCAACCCCAGGCTCAAGATGGAGACGAGTCTGATGCCACACCAAATCCCGTCCGAGGACCAAGCACGGGCCCATCGAAGTCGGCCTATTGGGAGGACCGAAAAAGCATGGAGACGCCGGACAGTGTAAGCCCCCGCCTGCCTTGGCTCTCCTTACACGGTCCGACCGCATCAATGTGTACAATGATATTTTAGGCAATGACTTTTTGAAAGGATTCTAGCCAGACGGGATTCTAGCCATGCCGATGACCCACTTTACGCCAGGCAGAAAGTTTCGGGCAATAAATTTTGACACCCTAAAGCTGAAGGTTGGGAGAATTATGGGATTTGGAATAAATGTGGAATATCTCACGAACTAGAGTTTTGTTCTCACAAGGAAGAAGGCACAGGGTGTGTATTCGTATTGGTCCGATCTTGTTAGTCATGGAGACCAGGTGGTGTCCCAGACATGGGTTTTGACCGATATATCAATCAATTTCGAGTATATTGAATCTCGGACAAAAACTCTCACGGCAATTTCCGAAAATCTGTCGACAACTGTCGATACATTTGGAGTCGACAACGTCACCACCACTACAGGAACCAACTAGGTTATCCGCTGCATCGAGTTTCAACGGTCTGGGAAGGCGAGGTATCCATCATGCCGGAAGAACCCTGTCAGCACGGCTGTTCCTGATTCGCACTCTTCCAATGTAAGCAGATGGCCCATCGCACGACGGGTTGTTCTTACTTTCCCCAACCAATCTCCTCCTCCTGAACATGTGATAACATCGAGCAGACCAACGCTCCAGGCGTTGTTGCTGCTGATACCCAACCGTTCTCTTTGAGCCCGCACTTGAAGCCCCTGCTGGAGCTGAAAGCCCAGGACGCCGTGACGAGCCTCTCCATCGTTTTCGTCCCGGAGATCTCTAGTATGCCCTCCACGAGCATAACGTCTCGCAGCGGAGAAGGAGTTGCGCCACCAGCAACAGCTCAGGCTGATGGAAACTCTGACAACGTTGACGGGAGTGGCCGTGGCCTCACCACATGCCCGCCTCATGAAGATCGACCTCAAGGCGGCAGCGGGAGTATGCCGGCTTTGGCGTCGAGAACCGACGTGATGGAACAGGGTGCTTCGGCAGCCGGCGTGTATGTTGCGGTAGGCCTCGATACAGGAGTGGTGGAGGTCATGCGGCTCAGCAGCCAACGTGTGGGTACCCGGATACTCGACCTCGTCATAGCCTCCGAACGATCGGACCGTCTTTCATCGATCTCCGACGCTGCGGCGGCAGCGGACTCGCATCCCGCGGCAGATGGTTCTGCTGCTGGTGACACATTAGGTGGCGGCCTTTCTCGTCTCTCTAGCGACGACCGAGACGCGCACGTGTGTTTGCGCAGCGAAACGTCGGCGTCACAACCGGCGGCAGAAGGAGGACCGGCGGCAAAGCTGAGCGGCGAAAGCAACACAATGTCTCGCCTTCGTCTTGACCGGGACGAAGTAGGAAACCAGGAAAAACGGGTCCTGCCGGGAGCAGCAGCTGCTGCAGTAGCAACAGCAACAGCCGCGGGGCTCGTGGCATCGGTCTTGTGTGGTTGGCACGTCCCAGCGGATTCCCCGAGTGCCGACTCATGGGCCGGGCGTGGACTGGTCGTAGGTTTTTCGGACACCGAGGCAGGAACGTCTCCCTTCGCCGAGACGCCTAGAACTCCTCTGGGTCACACATCAGGGAATGTGCCGACTCGGGGCTGGGGTAGCAAGACAATCGAGGGCGTTGGCGCAGGAGCCAGTAGCAGTCAGACGGGCAGCGGTGACGGCCGGCAGGTGTTCGCGGTGTGCACAATGGACGGATGTGTCCGATGCTGTCGAGTAGTTTCAACCGCGGAAGGGCAACCGCAGTGGACAAACTTGTGGACAAGACAAACCAAGGCGAGCTTTCTCGTCGCGCGCGTGTGTTTGTGATTGTTCGTCTTTGCTGAGCCGTCGTCGGGCCGGACTATAGATGTTTTCGCTCCTCCGATCAAAGGGTTTGGGGCACTTGTTGCCATCATTTTCACTTCTATCGAAGTACAAACAACAGCACGGGAATTCCACATGAGGAAAGCGAATTGGACAGCAGTTCATCAACCAATTCAGCGAAATTCTCAGTTGGTGGGGAAATATGAGGTGCCATCTTGGGAACCCTGAAATTGAGAGAGCGACGAACAGCAGGAAAGTACATTACTATGGACCGAAACGTGTGGCTGGTCGACAGCTACATGACGGGCTGGAAGTATGTCGTACGAGGACGGTCGACAACAAGCGTGTAGGATTGATTCGATGCAGTCTGACGCGACCAACTGCTTTGGCATTTCATGCCATGTGTTTCACTAATGCCCCAACGTTTGCATCTCCATCCGCTCCTTCCGACCACCCCAGGAAGCATTGCATTCGTTCCAGAGGCTTGACTTCGAACATGAAGAGGGAGGGACAGAGAGCCTATTTGTTGTGTGCTCGTGGAGTGGAAAGTGAGGCAACAAAACAGGCAACCTGGGTGCTGCAACAATGCTGTAGTCTGCAATATTTCGGCATCCATGGGCTGGGGAGCTTATACAAAATTGCACGTGTAATCTCGTTGCTGGGTTTCCCTATCGGCCCGTGGTTGAACTGCTGCTGTTGCTTCCGAAACCATACGTTTCTGTCGGCGGAACCCCGTCCCGGTTTTGTGACGTTAGTTTTGTGCATCCTGTGTACTAATCGTTGGTCGAGGTTCTACCCAGCCTTCGGCCTTGCCCCTCAACCCCAAGAGTTCCGACCGGGGGTTACCAAGGATACCTCCGCGATGAACGCCTTCGATGCTGGATGCGAATAAGGGTCTTGGCGACGGCTGTCCGTACCTTAAGGACCCCCCCCCCCCCCCCCCCCCCCCCCCCCCCCCCCCCCCCCCCCCCC